TCTCAAACTATATTGTGAAGAAGAAGGATTCTCAGAATGGGATATATCAACTATGGTTAAGGAAGGAAGTTAAAGACAGCATCAAATTGAAAGTTAAAAAACATACAATGACAATGCAGTGAAGATTAATGGGGTAAGCCAGAGAATTGGGAAATATTTATAAAACTAAAGATGACCGAAACAAAAGTTGGGGGAGGTAAACTTTGAGAGTAAATCTACAAGTAATATTAAGAAGGACATTAAGAGATTCTTTAAATATATAAAAAGGAAGAGAGAGACCAAAGTGAACATAGGTCCCTTGAAGAATGAGGATAGGGAAATAATAATGAGGAATCAAAGGATTTGAATAAATACCTTGCATCAATCTTCAGAGTTGAGGACACGAATAGCATTCCAAAATTACTAAATATTCAAGAAGCAAATGGAGGAGATAAAATAATATCATGAGAGAAAAAAGTGGTAGGGAAACTAATAGGGCTACAGACTAATAAGTCCTCGGGACCTGATGAGTTGCATCCTAACATAACGAAAGCAGCAATAGAGATAGCATTAATAGAAATCTTCCAGGAATCCTTAGATTCTCAAAGTCCCAGAAGATTGGAAAACAGCCAATGTAACACCTTTAATTAAAAAGGGAAGGATGCAAAAAGCAGGTAACCATAGGCCAGTTAGCTTAATGTCTGTTAATGAAGATTTAATTAAGATAAAGATTATACCCTTGCTGTGAGTCATGAATTCCCTTTTTAAATGCCTACCATTGATCATTAACTGTCTTTTCTGTTAAACTCCTTTTCTGGTCCACTCCAGCCAACTCTACCCCTATTTCCATGTAACTATCTTTATTTAAGTTTATGCTAGCTGTTTCCAACCTAAATCCTCACTCTCAAATTGAATGTTAAATTCTACCATGTTAAGGTCACTGTTCACTTGGGGATCTTTTACTCTGAGACCATTTATTAAAACTGCCTCATTACACGTTACAAGCTCCAAAATAGTCAGATCTCTAGTTTGCTTGGATCCAAAACATATTGTTCTAGCCACTCAATGTATTTTTCCTTGTTACCATGTCTCTATCAGTTCCATCAGTAATGAAAGATGTGGCTACTTTTGCCAATTCTTTCTTCCAACCAAGATGAAGATTAAAACCATTTCCTTTGTACTTTACTGCCTTTTTTTACATGCTCTCATTATCTCCTCATTCATTCTCTGTCCTACAGAACAGCTACTCTTATGGCACCATAGACTACTCCTACCAGCATCTTCTTCAACTTGTTAATGAATCACAACTCTTACAATTTTTTGTTAATAGAAAGGTATTAAAGGATATGGGCCAGAATCAGATAAATGGAGTTAGCCCGCAAATCAACGACGATCTCTTTGAATGGCAGAACAGGCTTCAGGGACTGAATGTTCTACTCCTGTTCCTATGCTTCCTATGTTCCCATGTAATTCCTTCCCCTCCATCCCTATGAATTCTACATCTTCCAACCTGAGAACCTTTTCTCCTCGTGTACTAATTTCCATCTCATACTAACAAAGTAATCCTTCTCTTCTTGCATATCCTATAGAAAAGTTACATTCCACTGAATATTTCGTTTACAGCTTCAATCTCCTTGTTACCATGTCTCCATTAGTTCCATCAGTAATGAGAGATAAGGTCCCAGTTTGGAAAGGGGCTATAATTAGTTCACTTTTTCAGAAAAATTGAATGTATTGCACGCTGCACAAAAACTCTTATAAAAACCAAAGTCTCAGAAAGAATCCAGTAAGCCTAAAGTTATAAGGCATAATGACATTGCTGAGCAAAAAGCACGTTGTTGAACTTTTCCTAGCTCCAACAAAAACAGAAGTTGCTGGAACAGCTCAGTAGGTCTGGCAGCATCTATGAAGAAAAATCAAGAGTTAACATTTCGGATCCGGTGACCCTTCTTCACCGGATTTGAAGCATGATTTTCAATTTTAAATTCTGCTTTAAGCCAACTAATCACAATGGTTTCACATTCTCTTAAGGGGGTGTGGTGGTGCCCTAAAAATGTCCCTGGCTAATAGATTGAGGTTCTGGCTTCAAATCCCACTGGACCTGCTGAGCAGCAACTTCTGTTTTTGTTTCTGATTTACAGCATCCACAGTTTTTTTTTCGGTTTTTTTCTAGCTCCATTTTGATTTAGCCTCCTCCCTCTTTCCCTAGTTCTCCCCCACCTTTGATGGTCTGCATTGTCCTGAACAGGTTTTGCATGTAACAAACTAATCAATTGGAAAACATGAGGGATTTACTAATGGTGGGTAATAGACAAAAACAGACAGGTGAGTTTGAGATAGGAGAAAAAGAGTTCTGTTGTGCACAAGAGCACCTCTGGATATAAAACCAAAGCAATCTGTTGAAGGACTCTTGTGATACAGTGGTAGCATCACTACTGTATGAGAATAAACTAGAATATCCTTTATGGTCACGTGTACTCAAGTACAGACATACAGGAGGACAGTGAAAAGTTTTACAATGTTGCCTCTAATGGTGCCATTTTAGGTACAAGTACTCAGGTACAAATCTTTGATACAAAAGAAGAATAAAAAAGAAAAGTAGTTGCATTACTTTGCAGAAATAAGACATAGTTAAAAAGGATTGTCATAACAGTCATATAAACAAACACATTGCAGTAGCTGAGAGCCAGGACTTCCATAAGTGGTCTGACCGCCCATGCCAGACCCCAATCCAACAACAATCCAAAAAAGAAAGAAAAAAGAACAGGCAAAGCAGAGGAGCACTGGCTGGAAAATCTTACTCTGCCACTATCTTGCACAGGAGTTGGGACAGATTATAACTGAGATGGTAGAGACCTTGGTTCAAGTTCCACCTCCTCCAAAAGTGTTACACTCCTGAGCAGGCTGATCAAGTTTGTAAATTACCATGTCAAAGTACACTACTTTTGGAGAAGCTCTAAAAATGAATAAGACATTAATAAAATTACATTTAAAATAGCATTCATTCAGATATCCAGCCCTGGGTGACTCAGAAAGGATGAAATTAATAATTTTTTAGCAATGCCTTACATGCTGTCTTCCCAATGGGTTTTCAAGAAAAGTAGGATTCATTTTATTTTGTGTGAGGAGAAATTACACATGTTGTCCTCAGCTTGGGAAGCAAAAGTAAAAAGAGTAGCTAAAGAAGCAATATTCATGGCTATGTACTTTGTATATCTTAAAGGAGATGGAATATAAAGGCCAATTGGAGAAAAATGTACCTGTCAAATGCTATGTTGATAATAATTTGCTCTGGAGCAGCATCCACTCAAAAACAAAGAACAAAAGAATAAAAGAGAAGTATGGCACATGAAAAGGCCCTTCAGTCCTCCAAGCCTGTGCTAATCATCAGGCCCTGACTAAGCCAAAAAAAAACAAATCTTCTGCCTTTATTTGGTCCGTGTCCCTCTATTCCCTCCCTATTCATGTAATCAACCAGGTGCCTCTTACATGTCACCAACGTGCCTGCTTCCACCACCTCCTCTGGCAGTGCATTCCATGCTCCTACCACTCTGTGAAAAAAACTTTCCTTGCACATCTCCCTTAAACTTTGCCCCTCTCACCTTGAACCTGTGCCCCCTTGTAATTGAAACTTCACGCCTGTGAAAAAGCATCTGACTATCCACTTTATCTATGCCTCTCATAATTTTGTAGACCTCTATTAGGTCTCCTCTCAGCTGCCATCTTTCCAGTGAAAACAGTCCTAGTCTTTTTAACCTTTCCTTATAGCCAATGCCCTCAGGACCATGCAACATTCTGGTGAATCTTCTCTGCACTCTCTCCAAAACTTCCATGTCCTTCTGGTAATGTGGCAACCAAAGCTGCACACAATACTTCAAATGCGGCCTAACTAGGGTTTTATATGGCCACAACATGTTTTGCCAACTCTTGTGCTCCATGCCCTAGCCAATGAAGGCAAGCATGCCATATGCCTTCTAATAACTTTGGCCACATGTGTTGCCACTTTTAGGGAACTGTGGACCTGCACGACCAGATCCGTCTGTATGTTAATGTTCCTAAGGGTTCTGCCATTAACAGTATAATTCACACCTAAATTTGATGTTCCAAAATGCATCACCTTGGATTTGTCTGGGTTAAACTCCATCTCCATTTCTGTGCCCAAGTTGCCAATCTATCTATATCCTGTTCTATCCTTTCACAATCGTTGGAACTATCAGCAACTCCACCAATCTTCGTGTCATCTGCAAACTTGCTAATCAGTCCACCCACATTTTCCCCAAGATCATTTATATATTCTACAAACAGAGGACCTAAGACTGATCCCTGTGGAACACCACCAGTTATCAATCTCCATTCTGAAAAACACCTTTCCACTGCTACCCTCTGTCTTCTATGACCAAGCCAGTATTGTATCCATCTAGCCAGCCCACCCCGAATCCCACGTGATTTTAGTTTCTGTACTAACCTGCCATGTGGGACTTTATCAAATGCCTTACTAAAGTCCATATAAATGACATTCACAGCTGATCCCTCATCAATTATCTTTGTCACCTCTTCAAAAAATTTGATCAGGTTGGTGAGACATGGCCTTCTCCAGACAAAACCATGCTACTTGTCACAAACTAGTCCACTTTCTTCCAAATGTGCATATATCTTGTCCCTCAGTATCTTCTCCAAGAGCTTCCCCACCACAGATGTCAGGCTCACCGGTCTATAATTTCCTGGATTATCCCTGCTTCTTTTCTTAATCAAGGGAACAACATTGGCTAATCTCCAGTCCTCTGGAACCTCACGTGTGGTCAAGGTGGATGTGAAGATATCTGCTAATGCCCCAGCTATTTCTTCCCTTGTCCTTCCCAGCAACCTGGGATAGATCCCGTCTGGCCCTGGGAACGTGTCTACCTTAATGCAATTTAACACTCAACAAAAACTGTTGCTGAAAAGAGACAAGTATAAAAGTTGTTTGAAAGGAGAGAAATTTCAAAAATAAAATGGGCTGATGCAAGTGAAGAGCTACTGAGTTGTTCTACAAAAGATGAAATGTTTATTTGAAAAACTTGCTTGATGTCCTCAAACAAGGACACACTGTGTTCAGTGAATTGTGTTATAGTTTTCTACAGAGATTATTGTCTCCAAGACAATCCCTTACAAAGTAGTTATACCGATTTTACAAGGCAATATATTATTAACTTTCCATTTAACCAGTGAAATGGGTAATAGATAGTTGGTTACCTGCAATGCAGACCTTTTTGTCAATGGTAACTGGTTCTCGTCTCCAAGAAGCTTGGTCACATAACCCCCATAGTATGACTTTTTACTACATTATTTTGAAATAGTGGGCAAAAGAAGTTAGCACTTTTCTATATAACTACTACTGACAAAATCAAAGCACCCATCTTTGGGCTACAAAGCAAGAGCTTCTGGTTTGTAAAATGCACTCACCAATCTGTATTGTGCACTGTACAAGTAAAAACACATTTCTCCAAACAGTGAGACAGAAGACACATTGCTGCAGAACTTCCTCGGAAGAACTTCAAAAGGATTATGAAAGAGAAAAAACTTGCTACAATTCTTCAATTACTGGCTAGCCAATCAACCATTCACACAAATAAATTTCAGAGGGCCAAATCTAATTTTGGGCTTTTGGACTCCATTTTAAAAGCCAGGGAATTGATAAATTGATGTCCCTTCATTAATTTGAGTTAAAGTTATGAATAATTGAATCTTTATCCATTTTGATTCTATAACACTTTATATGTTTGTAAGTGTGCCTGTGGTATGAGATTGCCCCTGCATCTAACAGTGTGTGAAATAAACCCTACTTCTGGTTTAACATTACTACAATATTGTTGTCTTGAAAACTTGATAGCCTCTTCCTTGAGTGCTCAGACAACTGATCTTTGATATTCTCAGTTTCAAATATACCCTCAGGGTTCTAAGAAAACACTTCTGATCTGGAACTTTCAAACTAAACTCTTCATACCGAGGTAACCTACTTTTTTAGTTCTAGACTATCTCCTTTCTTCAGGAGAAATTGTTTTGCACATCTAACTTTCATCAGGATATCTGAAAATGGAAACCAAAATGACTTCCATGCCATGTTTTCCCTAATCCAAATACAAACAAAACTTCATTACATTCCAGGAAACTTTTCATACTTTTTTTAAGCTCTAGAAAATACAGAAACTCCTTCATACACAGACCAAAATCCATGTTCAACTCGTTCAAAGTACAAACACTAAAATAAATGATATTAAAAATATATGTTGTACACCATACATTGCAAGTGACTGAATTAATTTGTAAAATCAAATTAAAAATAACATTCACAGTCTATCAAGCCAGGTTTCACTCTGGAATCTGTCTTGTACAAGTTACCATCAGCTGGGATCATTAGAAGTTGAGTTCAAAAGAAGATGATTGCAATCATTGGAGGTCAATCATCTTGGCTGCAGCTCCTCCTTGCAGGGTTTGAATTATTTTTTCTTGTTATGTGTATTTTACAGTGAGAACAACAATAAAATACAGTGAAAAGCTTTTCCACTGTTGCCATGATCCAGCACCATTTTGAATAGTTTAAAAATAAGAAAGTAATAGAAAGACATAGCTTAAAGAGCGTCTATCAGTCCTTAGCCAAATCATCATCAGCAAGGCGTGCGCTGCCATCCCTCCTCCACTGCCTCGTCGCTGTCTACATCGGACCCAACCAACGTTAAAGTTACCATTCTTCAGGCACCATCATTTTCTGCTGAGCCAGTTCTGCTTCACCACAACCTTGCCGCCGCTTGCACTGGATTCACCAACGTCAGAGTCACATCTCTTGCTGTTGGGCCCATCTTGTTGACATCACTGTGATTCCCTTCCACCGCTGCTTTGCCACCACCAGCGCCAGACCCAACGAACAAAGAAATCGCCGATCCTCAGGTGCCATCTTTTGCCACTGTCACCTCCACTGATGTAGCAGCCGCCAATTCCGATGCTAGGTCCCATGCGTGCTCCAGAAAAGTAAGTAAGATCTCAAACGAGTCCATTTTGGGCTCACTTGCTGCTGCCACAAGGTCTGCGCTGGGCCCATTGCTGTTACCATGAGATCCATGCTGGGCTCATTCATTGCTGCCATGATCTGCATTGGGATCCCTTGATGCCACCATTATCATATGAGCTGAGGACAAGAGGTAAGTGAAGGAAAAGAGAAGAAAAAAAAAACAAGAGAAAAACACAAACAGATATTAAAAGCAACTGTTAAAGTACCTGTAGGCGTGACAGAGAAGAGAATTCCCTCTGTTTCTTGAATATAATAAAGGTGTGCTGTTAGGATAGATAAAATATTGTAGTTTGCCGTGTATTTTGAAATCTTCAAAGTTGTGTTGAATTTATCTTCTTTTACTTTGTGTAATAAACTTCTGTTTTATTGTTAAAACCAAATCTGCAGCATTCTGTGTTTGTGTTTCAGTGAAAGACCACCTTGTTAAATTAAAATGAAATATGATCTACCAAGCCAGACTTGTATGAGATCAGACTTGTTCAATAACAACATCAGCTGATTTCATAGCATACTAAACGTATTTGCAAGAATCTGCCAATGTACCTTTTCACAAAATAACATAAATGATTACTACATAAAGGAAAAACACAGACTACAATATACTGGGCAAGAGAAATGTGAAAGATCTGATAACAAAATACCCTTACAGACACTCAAGGTTCAGTGAAGTTTATTTTCACACTAAAGCTTCTTGCTCAGCTAATATGACTGTAATTGGTTTCTTTTCAGCAAAATTCAGTGCATTCATACAATGCTATTTTCTTTAGTTAATTTATCTCACCAAATCCCTTAAAACAAACTGCTAACTCAGCTCACTCATTGCTGAACATGAGTTCCTTCAGCTCATATCTTCAACAGCCTTGCTGAATGTCTCACTAACTTCTAAGCCACTCAGAACTGGTCTCCCACCTGACTGCTTGGAGACTGTTAACTACATACTCTTCTGCTATGGTTTGCATCTCCTGCATGAACTACTTATGGCTCTGTGATGCATGGTTTACAAACTGCTATATTTTTAACTACTTAATTTGTACATTTGGATTTTGAACTGTGAATTTTCTGTACGTGTGAAGAGCTTTACCAATTAACTTGCAGGCATTTCTGTCACCATGGTAATGTCTTTCAAAAACACAGTATGAGACAGATCGGTTTTGGAGGCTAATGGAGTTTTACTTATATCAGGAAAGTTTTACGAGCAAACAGAACAAACATTGATGCTCATGAGACTTCAGCTAAAAGATACTGGGACTTTTTGACTTGGGTTAAATACACATAGTTTGAAGATATTCTTTTTTGCTGAGATTGTGGCTGAACTCAATGTATGAGACAATTGTTACGAAAGACAGAGATTGTTTCGAACTATTAAGAAATAGATTACCTCAGTGTAAGCATTTTAGTGTGAAAGTTCCAGATCAGAAATATCTGGCTGAAATCCTGAAGAGGTTATTTGAAGCTATGAGAGTCTAACTTCAGTTGTATAAAGACACAATTAGAAGAAAATTGGATTATCCAGATTGGGAACTAAATCAAACCCTATGCGAGAAGTTAGTGAGACATTCAGCAAGGCTGTTGAAGATATGAGCTGAAGGAACTCATGTTCAGCAATGAGTGAGCTGAGTTAGCAGTTTGTTTTAAGGGATTTGGTGAGATAAATTAACTAAAGAAAATAACATTGTATGAATGCACTGAATTTTGCTGAAAAGAAACCAATTACAGTCATATTAGCTGAGCAAGAAGCTTTAGTGTGAAAATAAACTTCACTGAACCTTGAGTGTCTGTAAGGGTATTTTGTTATCAGATCTTTCACATTTCCCTTGCCCAGTATATTGTAGTCTGTGTTTTTCTTTTATGTAGGAATCATTTATGTTATTATGTTAGTTTACCATCCATTTTGAAACCTTCAAACTTGTGTAATGTAAAAATATTTTGGTTTATTCTACTTTATCTTCACGTTTTTCACACAATAAACTTCTGTTTATGGTTAAAATCAAATTTGTAGCACTGTGTGTAAATCATCGCCTGATTTATACCAAAACCAAACAAACAATCAAAATAGGATCTATAAGACCAGAAATCAGTCTGAGATCTGACTTGCTCAATAACAACATGAAGTGAGATCACAAAAAAACACCTTGCTTCTCTGTCTGAGCTGTAAACCCAAGTTACCAAACACATTAACAATTATCTTCCCTGTGGCTTGCTGGTCATTTAGCTGAAACTGAATGACTTCTTATAAATGAGGTTTTGAACTCAGCATTCAAAATTACTTTCTGACCTTCTTTTCAAAATACAAAGTCAGATTTTCTCAGAACAAAGAAACAACACGCTATTCTCCTTCACCTTAGAAACCAGGTACTCAAAGGAGAATATATTAAGGACATTCATAACAGTACAACTTATTTTGTATATTATGTGCAATTAAGTACAAGTCTTGCATTGACTGCCCCCTTCTCATAGTTGTCTCCACATCTGCTGCACCTGACCCTTTCCATACTCTTTGTCCTTTCACTTGTTTTGTTAAGTTTAATAACCCCTGCTGAGCCCACCTCCTTTAAGTTTTCCACAATTTTCCATGCAATTGAACTCCACATGCCACTATGCAGTTTAAAGCTTTATCCACAGCCCTAGTTATGCAATTTGCCAGGGCTCTGGACTCAGCATGATTCACATGGAGCCCATCCCATTGGAACAGCTCCCTCCTTCCCCAGTACTGATGCCAATGTCCCATGAATTTGAACACATTTCTTCAACACCAACCTTTGAGCCATATGTTTACCTCTTTAATCATGTTGACCCTGTTCCAACTGCTCATGGCTCGAGTAGTAATTGGAGATTATTACTTTTACGGTTCTGATTTTTAATTTAGCTCGTAGCTGCTCATATTCCCTCAGCAGAACATGTTTCCTCATTCTACCTATTTGGAACATGTCAACTGGATCTTTCCATTTCCCCTCCCACTCCAAGTTCCTCTGCAGCCCAGGTTAGATTTTCTGAACTCAGGCACCAGGCCTTCAGGACTCTCAATCTTTGCCACAGAGAATAATGTCTATTTACTTGACTGTACTATCACCGATTAAAGCTACTTTTCTTGTTTCTTCATCCCATCTTGAGTGGCTCCCTGGGCCATGGTGCTCTGGTCAATTTGTTCATCCTCACTACAGACCCCACTCTCATCCACATAGGGAGCAAGAATCTCAAACCTGTTAGACAAGCTCAGGGCGGAGGCTCCTTCAGCACTACCTCCTGGATCCCTCTACCTACCTCGTTCATAGTCACACCCTCCTGTTTCTGACCACTGACCAAATACGAAGTAGTTAATCAAAGGGGTGTGAAAACACAATGTCCAGGTAACTCTACTCCTCCCTGATGCATTGTGGTGTCCGAAGCTCAGACTCCAGCTCATCAACTCAAAGAATCCCTAGTGTGTGGAAGCACGCCCATTGGATCCACACTGGCCTTCCAAAGAACATCCCACCCAGACCCACTTCCCTATCCAATCCCTGTAACTCTACATTTTGCATGAATGATTCACTTAGCCTGATGATTCACCTAGCCTGCATATCTTTGGACTGTGAGAGGAAACCACAGCACCTGGAAGAAACCCACACAGACACAGAGAGAACACGCAAACTCCAAACAGACAGTTGCCCGAGACTGGAGTCAAACCCAGGTCCCTGTTGCTGTGAGACAGCAGTGCTAACCACTGAGCCACTGTACCACACCAAATCTGAGCCAGAATTCCTCAAACAGCCAACACTTGCTACAGGTGTCGTCACTATGACCCACAATGAGGTCCACCAGCTTCTCCGTCATGCAGGTACAACACATTGCCTGGCCCTGCAACTCTGTTTTATTTACTCAGTTCTTAATTTGATTTTTAAAATGTTCCTAATGGTCTTTTATCTTGTAACCTGTAAATATTTTCCCGATTTACCTTCAATTTGAAAGCTATAATAAATGTAAAAAATAGTCAAATTAATAGCTCGTACCAACCAATGAACTTATGTTTTTCCTGTGATGTCCCTCTTTCTTTTATGTTGGGCCCCAATCCTGGGTTTCAATTTATCCTGGTTAAAAAATAACCTTACAAATTATGAACCAAAAACTACAAACAAAAAGTACCTCTTCCCCTCTGCACCAAATTTCCCAAACAATATACTCAATCGGGCTGTGTCCCTGTCCGGATGTGATCTCTGCTTCCTGACAATGCGAAGCTTACTGATTACATAATATGATTGAAATTTACATTCAGTTTGAGGGAGAGAGGAGTGGATCCAAGACAGTTTTTTTTTGAAATCTAAAAAGCAATTATGATGGCATTATACAGTTAGTGTTAGATAAAGTAATTTGGCAAAAACGGTTAATAGAAAGGTCAATGAGATGCTGTGGCAGATATTTTCAGGGGACATTTCAGAATAAATACATTCCAATTAATACAAAAATTTCCAAGGAATGGACCCACTATCCATGGTTAGCTAAAACAAAAGTTAAAGGTATCATCAAACTTAAAGAAAAGGCATATAATTATGCAAAGTCAGAATATTGGTCAGAATATGAAGAACAGCAAAAGTTGACTAAAATTAGACTATGAGAGAAAGCTCACTACAAATATAGAAGCACATAGTAAAAGCTTCTATCAGTAAAAAGAAAAGAGTTAAAGAAGTGAGCAGTGGTCCATAGAAAGTGAATTTGAAGAACTGGAAAGTAAAGAGATGGTAGCTTAATAAAACTGAGATAACAAGGTGTAGAGCTGGATGAACACAGCAGGCCAAGCAGCTTCAGAGGAGCAGGAAAGCTGACGTTTCAGGCCTAGACCCTTCTTACCCACAGCCTCCAACCTCATCATCCCCAACCCCGCACCGCCCGCTTCTATCAAAAAAAACTCTGCGCTCACAAGCTTAATAAAACAGATGTTTTTCAACAGGCTTCACCATAAACAATACAAGTAACACCCCAGAAGCAGCTACAAATCAGGAAGTGAAATGGAGAGAGGTATTCAGGAAAATCACAATCACCACAGAAGTGTTCAGGGTTAGCAAG